AGGACACATCTAAAACCTGCAGGGACACCGGCCCTCGTGGACGGAGATTGCCCACCCCTGTTCTAGTGCATTTCCAGTTCACTAGTTACGTAAACGGTTATTAAACATTACGTCTCAGCAAACTACAAACCTTCAGCATGCATTAAAGGCCTCACACTGGTGATCACGGTAAAGGAACTGTGGTACGATACCGTAGATTCTTTGATCGTGGTTTTAGAATTGCGACAGGATAAATGCACACACAGTATTTTAAACAAATACCACTGACATGCAAGAAAGTGAGCACAAACATCCAAATCACACGCAATAATGGGTAAATAAGACTAAAATAAATGGACAGCAAGGTAACACAGGCACTTTCTTAACTACGTGCGAACCCATTATTCTTACGTTTATAGTCTTGGCCCTCAAAAGCCCATTCTCAGACAAGAAACGCCCTGAAATACTCACAGTATGTATACATTACAGGTTGGCATTTTCCAAATGATTTATGTAATGGGTTTGTCAATAAGACAACATCAGACATCATTGAAAAATCTGTGATTTTTCACACGAATGCATTGACATTTCTATGTGATGCTGCAGCCCGGACAGGAACATGGAGCATACACACATTAATGATGATGATAATAATTCTGCTCAGCACTGCTGCAGCACATGCTGTCACCTGACAGAGCGGCATGTCGCCGGCTGTCATCGTCTCGCCCTGCAGTCACCAGCACAGACTCTGGGCCCTCAGAGGCTTTTAATGGTGAGGAGACCTGGCTGAGCAATTATGGTTGATGCAATGGTTGTTTGGTTAAATACTGTAATTGCTGGGGTGGAATTGTGGCGAAAGCCCCAAACAAGAAGGCTCTGCCAAATATCGCATTTTCCCCTGGCGCAACATGACTTTAAAATCCACGTTTTCTTTTTTTTTTCTTTTTCCCCCCCTGGAGCGTTCTGGCCAACCTCTCTGAACCAGAAGGCGCAAACATTAAGCCATTTAGTGCTTCATTTCCCACTATAGAACTAGAATCCAATGTGTCGTAAATGATTTATGCCCAACTTTATTAGAATGGAAGAAAACACTGTGTCACTTTGGAAATGCGAAACTTTCGACATAAGCCACAAATCAGTTTCCTGCCCCACGATTATCTTTGAGGTTTCAGTGCAACAGCCATAGATTCTCGAATGCCAGCTCGTTCGCAAAGTATAAAACAAAAATCTCTCAAAGAAGGAGAACCAGATGTGTTTTGTCCCCCTTCCCCTCTTTCCCATGAAAGCCGCTGAGCTGTGTCGAGCCGGCTCTAAAGGCCTGACTGGTGGGAAAATGACACGCTCGCACTATCAGCTTGTTAAATCTTCTTAAGGGGCTATCTCTTTGCAGAGAGACTTTCCCAGAATCCGACTTATTTCTGTGCCGCTCGAAAGAATTTCTTATGAAGCTGAGACACTAACATGAAAACAACCCACACGTCCCTTGTGAAATCGGAGCTGTTTCGGTAAGGCGGCCAGCGGAGGGGAAAAACAAACGTGCCCCCGACGAGCGCCT